TCCTGGAAGGCCTGTCTGACCTTTTGCTCCAGGTTCTCCAGGGATCCCTCTCTCAGTACAGATTATACCTTTGAAAAAATTGTACAGCCAGGTTAAATCAGGTTGTCTGTTTCCACAGCTCAGGTGATCTGTTCTCCTCTCCCTTATCTTGTTATCCTCACATGAAAAGCTGGGGATCTTACAAAATACTTGACAAATGGTTGCTTTTATATCATACCACAAGAGTCAGTTTTGCTAGTATTGATGCTGACAGAGATTTTTTCATTGCCATTACTTCCTTTTTCCACTGTAGAATGTTATGACTCATTTCTTTGCTAAAAGATTCTGAGTTGGGTTTCCTCCCCAGTTTGCTGTGTTTTTAACTTTGAGTGATATATTTTTACAGACATTTTTAATATATGCCACTTTGTGAGTTTAAATCACCCAGAAAATGATGCAAATATTTACATTTCATTGACTGACCATTAATAGGAAAAACTTGTTTTTTACATCACATGTAAAGTTGGATGTATCTGCCAAAATGCACTTTTGACTTCTGTTTTTTTAGGACCAATGTAGGCAATTAATCTGTTAATATGCAGGCTTATATTCTTGCCACATAAATTGCTGTTGAACCTACTGGGTAGTCCAGGTAAGCCTTGTCTTCCTGGCTGCCCTGGTAGGCCTGGTGGTCCAGGAAATCCAGGTCTTCCTGGGATTGATTCACCTGCTCCAGGAAAACCAGGGTCACCTTGAAAACCTTGAGGTCCTGGTGGCCCACTTACTCCTGGCAGCCCAGGCAGACCTATAAAGAAAACAATGGTATATGGCCTACATAGCATCACAGTAATGATTATTACAGTGTATTAAGGAGGAAATTACAGACCACTAAGTACCATCTTGAAGAAGAGCTTCTATATAACAAAGACTTAAATCTAAAATTCTAGGTTTTCCAGGATTCTAAAGCCTCCTGGCTTTAGACCTTTAAATGCTGCTTTACCTCCTCACCATTATCTTATTTCCAGACATCCCAGTTAATCTAGTTCTTTATATAGAGCAAAGTCATCCTAACCACCTTCCTTTTGTGCCTGTTTGAGATGGAGGGTAGAGTTTTTGAGCACAGAACTCCAGATGCAGGCATACCATGGTTTTACAGTGCATGGTAGCATTGTGTTAATTCCTAATATTCTGTTTGTAACATTTGGGGTTTTTTTTGGCCATGGAGTGCTGAGATAGTATTTTTTACCTCTTTGTAGAGGTAAAAGTCAAAAAGTCAAGTTGGTGACTTGCTGATGCAAGAGCAAAGACCAGATTTATTTTAGCTGCTTTCTCTCCTGCTGCACAGTTCAGATTTTATCCTCTGCTTCACTTACTTGTTCCATCCTCTCCTGGTCTTCCTAGCAGGCCTGCAGGACCAATTGGTCCAACTGACCCAGTATCACCAGCAGGACCTGGAAATCCAGGATCTCCTCGTGCACCTACACAGAGTTATAAAAACGTGAATTGAACACCTTAAGCAATTGTCAGCTTAAACCTAACTGCAATAGAAATCATAATTGGGAAACTACAAAAAAAGTAAAATACAATAACTTGTTTTGTCTATGAAATATTTTTAAATGTGAAATGATTTAATTTTAAGGTGGGAGGATTTGGTTACTTTTCTACGGATTCCTGCCCATTTTGTGGGCACCTGTTTTAGCCTTAATCACTCCACAGTATTGTATTTTTGTGCTACATATTGCAGAACACACATAGAAGTGTTTGCCCAAATTAAACACATGTAGTGCTTAAAATACATCTCATATTGTGCCTGTTTGTCAGGGCACACCAGGAGGTCATTTCAGGATCATCATGAGAAGTTATCTTAAAATGTTCTTATAATACAAGTTCCCCAAGAGTAGGATGGCAAACAAATCCCTTCAAGGCAGCCAGCTTGGCTGTCCCCTACTGACTCCTGCTATGAAGTAAGAATCCCACACACCTTTTCACCAACTAGATGATAAAAATCCAGCCTGAGGTTTAGGTAGGAAGGTAATAAGATTGACAGGTATTCTGTTGGGAGCAAGAGTTCCAGGATTTCACCCCTGCTGTGCAATAGGAAGCTTAATTGTAGTCTAAATTCTGTGTTGTGGCAATTCTGAAAATAGTAGTTCTAAATTCAAATGGGAATGCCAGGTTTTTTATTTGCCATTCATTATCCAGCCTGGGCTTATTTTTCATAGCTTTTTCCTAAACATGCTTAAGTCCACTAACTAGGGATAGCCCTGCAGATCTAGCTGTGACTGAAAGCATAAAGTGACCATTTCAAGCAAACATTTAATCTGAAACTTGCATGCTTAATGTAGTTCCAGTAAAATCAGTGAGACACAAACAAACACAGAATGTGGCCATGAGGAAGATGTTTTATGATCCTGTCCCCTGAATCCCTGGTGATCACTTTTAAACACCTCAGCAAAGTAGGTCCTACACACTTTGTGCAGCAGAAAGATGAAACTAGTGATAACCTTTCACAGGAAGCAGCGGAGTTCCAACAGCTCCAGGAGGACCTGGGGGCCCTTTGTCTCCTGGATCCCCCTGTAAGAGTCCAACAATAACTTTTACTGGCAGATGCAAATATGCAGTGTGCTAGCACGTAAATGAAAATTGCAGCAGTGGTGGGGTATGTAGGGTTGTGAGACAGATCATCTGGGAAACTCAGTTTTGACACTTTATAGTTATATATAACTATATATATAGTTTTATTTAAAACCAGGCAACGAGATTTAACATCATGGGTTTTTTTCAGGTTACCAGTGACTAGAGGTCACTGGTAAAATACCTATTGCACATGTCTATTTGACTTCAGAATTTGTGACTGGTGTATTGGATTTCACTCATATATGTATTGTAAAGAGGAATCAATTACAGTGAATCAGTACCCTATTTAATTGAGATATTTTGATTTAATATCCATGCTGTAATTATTTGCCTTGAAATACTACACCAGAATTTGCAAATTACTTCCGTGATGACAGTAGCATTAAGAAAAGAGGTTTCACAGTATGGCAGATACTATTGATGGTGAGAGAGACTTAAAGTTCTTACAAGAAGTCTAAAAATCAGCATCAGGGAAACAAAAATGCTTACTAACAGCAAGGAAAATCACTTCTGCTTGGAGGTTTTCTAAATTAGCTTGGATTTTGATATTTAGAATTGCAAGCAAAGTAGACTTCAGAGAAGTCTTGTGTGTGGCAAATTGTATTAGACTTTTTGCTTTGTAGATTAAGAATCAACCCTGTTCTCTGCAGCAAATGGGAAATGCAAAAAGAATGTGAATGTGGGAACTGCGTAGTGAGGCTGCATTCCTGGGACTGGAGTTCAGGGCCTTTAGGACAGACAAGCAGAACTGGAACTGCCACACTGGATACCCATTCTTACAGAAGTGAAACAAGGAGCCCATACTACCCTCTGGGCTTTTTTTAATAAGTGTTATCTCTACCATATTTAAACAGTTCTGGAGCTGCTGTCCTTTTGTTCTGTTGTCTTTGGCTATTCAAGCAGAAATGTAAATTTGTCTTCCTTATTGACATAGAAGAGTCTTCTGGGTGGCAGGAAAGAAAAAAAACCTAGCATTTTTTCTCCTTTGGTAAACTCACAAAGTATGCTGAGATTGAAAATTAATTTCATTATGATAAAAGTACCAAAGATTTGTACAACAGATGCATATAGCCCAAGTCTTATGTGACTTTCATGCTGATTTTAAAATGACACTGCCAGAACACAAGAATGAATTAGACAGTCAATGAGCTAAGGTGAAAAATTTCAGTTCCTTGCATCACCTTAACTGACAAATTTCAGTGGTGCTCTCTGGAAATCTCTGTCTTTAGGCTGTTACATCTTATGACCCTCTCTGAAAAATCTCCGTGAGGATGGAATATTCTCAGGTGGTGCTTTAAACCTATTCTTGTTCCTCCAGTTTTAGCAGATTATAAGCAACACCTGGTGAGGCCAGATGAACAGTTGATGCAGAATAGATAAATGTGCACTTTTCAGAAATAAAAAAAATATACTCATCAGTGTGAATACTTTTTTAACAATGCAACACTTAAGGTTTGATTCTAGTTTTGGAAAGTAAAGGACTGTAATGATCTTTCTGCTACTAAATAAGACATGCAGTGTTTCTGTCTAATTAGTATCTTAATTGTTGTGAGGCTGCTAATGAGCAAATGGCAGAAAAATGAAAATTCATGGACATTTTTTTTTTTCCCAAGCTATGACTACATAAATGAAATCTTGGCTGAAGAAGTTGACCTAACACTCTCCTGGCAGTCCTTTGAAACAAGTAAACCTGTAAGTAAACCAAATGTTTTTATTGTATTTTTACTTATTTACTCCATGTGCTTGTCATTTTCCCTTTGTAAACCTACTACTTGAAAACTTGTTCATTGCTTTTTATTTGTCTGCTTTCAAATATATCTTTAGTTGTTTACTACTTATGGCAAGATAGGATCAGCCACAGCCTATTTCTTTTCCTCATCACAGATCATGGAAAGTGTGTTCCAATCTTAATTGTCAATTTGTAACTAAGGGGATTTTTGCTAAAATCTCAAGTGTCATTCCTCTGATTTCACAGGTGCGACTAATCGTGCTTTAAGGAGTTAGTGCACCTTTCCAAAAAGAAGTCATTTATAGAGGGGATCATGTGTCTGCATTGTTTGGTAGCTTTTTTACCTGTACTCCAGGATAGCCAGGTTGTCCAGGAAAACCAGCAAATCCCATTTCCCCCTGGAAAGGGTCACATAAACATAATTCGATGAACCCATTAAGATATTAATAAAAGTAATTGAACAAAAAAAACCAAAACAAACCCAACCAGTAAGGCAGTCACACAGTACTGTTACGATAGCATCTGCAGCTTGTTTTAGAAAATGCACTGGGTTTGTAGAAGAGTTGGTATGTTTCACAGAAACTTTTCTGTTAACCTGGTGATACATGTTGGGTTTATTATTTGGATAGTGGTCAGCAGATTCAGTGTAGCTGAGGCACAGGCCTAGCTGGAATACATACCAGAAGACTCTAACAGACTGTCTGCTTAATACAGCTTAAATGGGTTTGCTGCCTGCTGAATGATCCTCTTAAACTACCACTGTATGGAAAGCAGCTGCATATCAGCTGCTCTTCTCATTTTATGATCTACCAATATACTCATCCAGCCAGTATTCAAACTCTTTAGGTAGGCAGTAGTAAAAACCAGAGTAAAAGTAAGATCTATATACCAACATCTGTTGTTCTTTCATGCAGTAAGATATTGCAAATTCATAACTAACATTTAGCAGACTTAACAGGAAAACTGGAATTTCTCCAGCCAGAAAGCTATACAAAACAAACATATAACACAAAATTACAAAAACAATGCTACCATGGCAACTAAAGTTACCATGCTCTGAAACCTCTATCATGCTACATATAGATCCACTGGCTTTTCCTCCTGCTTGCAACTTCAGATTCCATTAGCCAATTTCAGCCAAATTTCAGAGTGTGGCAGAAATTCGAAGACAAAGGGTTCATATGACTTCTGTGGCAACAGGTAGCAGGAGAAAAAGGAAGAAATGCAATGTGGGCTATTAATTCCAAATCTGCACAAATCCATGTAAACCCAAATATCACTGATACCACTATTCAGGGAGCTGCTTATACTTCATGTCTTCTTACCTTCATTCCAGGAAAACCTGCACGTCCATAAGAACCAGGATTACCCTGATTAAAGCAAATAAAATATGAGCTAAAACAGTAAAAGCTTATTGAAAATGTCACCTATTCAGAATTGCTGAGCACTTAATGTTCCTTAGATATTTATTACTTGAGATATTTCCCAGTAATAGTATCGTTCAGAATTGCTGAGAAGCTAATAATCCTTACATAGTTATTACTTGGGATATTTCCCAAAAAAATTTGCAAAGTTTCTGCAAAATTCTTTTTGTGAGAGATGGGCATGAATTTGAACTACAGCCCAAAGTAAACCAGACAGGTCTTCGCAGACAGGAAGGTATGGAATACGTGAATATCGCTGAGTTAGTACTGTGCTCCTCCACAGAAGTTTGTGCAGCTCTAAATATTTAGAGGATAACCCTACAGATATACTTTCTTTCCAAGGACAGAACATCTGTATGAACATCTGTTTAAGTCTGAGGCAGAGTAAGTCTCAGGGCAGGACTTTGAAGTATTATATACAGAAAGTATGGTAGATTAGTTTTAGAAATACTTCATTATCTTCCTTGGAAATGCAAACCTAAACTGCAAAATATATAACGAATCTAATTTGTTAAGTAACTTCTTCTGCAGCTTCCTTACCCTTAATCCAGGGAATCTAGGAATGCCTTTTTCACCCTTTTCTCCTCTCCCAGGTATACCCTGGAGCATTCAAAACAGTTTGTTTAAACAGGATGCTCAGTGAAGTTTGCCATAAATTTTACTTTTTGTGTGAGTTAAGTTACGTATGTATTAGGTTGATGGTTCTTGTTCACTTGCTAGGCTCAGTCACTGGGGCTTCCTTCACACAACCCTACTGACAGTGCCTGTGGACCTGCACTTATTCAAGGAACTTGCCTGGGTCTCAACTCCCATGTTTGGTTGTGTTTTTTAAGTTCTAGGTACCTCTTGGACTGCA